ATAAGCTGAGAAAACCCTCTGAATAGATAAATCAATAGTGTTAACCTCACTGCACTAAGTGAACAGGGTTTGATCAATTGCCAGAGATTCCTTCTTTTAAACACGAAAGTAAACATCTTCATCTTCTGGCCTCTCTAGTCTAAATTTCTACTCCCTAGAACAACTTAAGGCTTTGAACATTGTCACAAGGATGTTTCTATTTGGAGAATCTGACAGTGGAAACAATGTTGGATGGAGCAGAGAGCTCTAAGGTGGTCTGTGGCCCAGAAAGTGTCAAAAAAACTAGGAAAAGTGATGGAGATTGTGGAAAGTAGGACCTCTAACATCAGGATTCATGGCTCCCCTGGAATGAGAATATTTTTAGATATTCATGATGAATTGATAGAACATTTGAGTTCAAGGAATGGCAAAAAGGACCAGAATCCTCCTTGCCGGACCCGCAAATGCAAGACTCTTCCCAGCTCTTCCTGACCCTCCAGTCACATTTAGCAGCCCCTCTTCACTGTTTTTTCTGTCTATTTACATTTTATATGTATCACCTTCACACTGTATTGTAATTATGCGTTTGTTTGTCTGAGCCTCTTACTAGACCATAAATGTCTAGAAAACAAAGACTACCCTGTTCGTCTTCAGATCTCCTAGCACCTTGAACAATGACTGGCACACACTTGGTATTTAACAGGTGTTTGTGGAAAGGAGAAGGCTTGGAAGGAAGAGCAGAACAGGGACACACACAGCAAGAGAACCAACTCAGGGAAACAGTGGAGGGACACAGAGGGTCCTTGATACATGGAATCTGATTCTGACTCTCCTTTGAGAATGAAAATGAACAGGGAACTTGAACTTTGTGGACCTCAGTTTTATCACCGAGAAGATAAGGCACTTATAGTGTTAGAATTGTATGAGCATCCAAGAAGGGAAATATATAGCTGAGTAGTTAGGTTCCTTTTAACATGCATGTGCAAAAAAATAAACCTAAATCCAGAGCACTAATTTAATTACTTCAAAGGAAACAAAGAGGGAAAGGAAGGAAGTCACAGCAATGTTGATTTAAACTGTTATTAACTAAAATTTGGGTTGGGCGCAGTGGCTCATGCCTGTAATCCCAGCATTTTGGGAAGCCGAGGAGGGTGAATCGCTCGAGTCAGGAGTTTGAGATCACCCTGGCCAACATGGTGAAACCCCATCTCTACTAAAAACACAAAAATTAGCCAGGTGTGGTAGTCGGGCTCCTGTAATCCCAGCTACTCTGGAGGCTGACACGAGAATCCGTTGAACCCAGTGAGCCGAGATGGCGCCACTGCAACACAGTGAGACTGTCTCAAAAAAAAAAAAAAATTTGATTAGAAAGAATGTTTGGTGTGGGATGATTTGTTCTTGATAATTTCCTGAGTTAATTGACTCTAACTTAATTTTGAGTATGTAAATGCCAAATAATATGTTTATAATACTGAAAGTAACAAATTAGAAAATTTGAAGACTCAGAGATTACAACCATGAAAATACATAAGTAACCATACTTTACTTCATTTATTTATTTATTTTTAGAGTTCCCAACTTGCTCTGTCACCCAGAGTAGGCTAGATTGCACTGGCACCACCATAGCTCACTGTAGCCTCAAACTGATGGGTTCAAGCAATCCTCCTACTTCAGCTTCCCAAGTAGCTAGAACTACAAGAGCATGCTACGTGCCTGTCTATTTTTTTAATTGTTATTATTTTTTAGTGATAGGGTCTTGCCGTATTGCCCAGGTTAGTCTCAAACTCCTGGCTTCAGGCAGTCCTCCCACTTGGACTCCCAAAGTGCTGGTATCACAGGCATGAGCCCCCATGACCAGCCAGTAGCCATACTTTAAAGAAAAATGAAGTCAAAGCTATTTGAAGTATTCCAGAATATTTTTTCAAGAGTATGGCAAGGGGAATGCTCTAAATTATTTTTTAAAGCTAGCATAACCGTGATAACAAAGACACAGATGTTATGACAAAACTTTACACCGATCTCACTTTTAGTATCAATTCAAAAACTGAAATATAATAAATACAATAACAAACAAAATCAGGCAGCTCATGAAAGAATAATACGCCATGACAAAGTGGGGTTTATTGCAGAAATGCAAGGCTATTTTTCTATTAGGAAATGTAATATATAATTTACCATGTCTGGCAATGAAAAGATAAACAGTCATATGAATATTTCCATGACTGCTGAAAAGAGATATATTTGATAAAATCGCAGTGTTTATTCTAAATAAAATCTGTTACTAAATAGATAGCTTCTTTTCTCCTCTTTTCTTTCTTTCTTTTTTCTTTCTTTCCTTCTTTCTTTCTTTTTGAGACAGGGTCTCCCTCTGTCACCCAGGGCAGAGTGCAGTGGCACGGTCTCTGCTCACTGAAACCCCCACCTCCTAGGTTCAAGGGATTCTTGTGCCTCAGCCTCCCAAGTATGGGACTACAGGCGCACGCCACCATGCATGGCTGATTTTTGTTTAGTAGAGATGGGGTTTAACCATGTTGGCCATGCTGGTTTCAAATTCCTGGCCTCATGTAATCCACCTGCCTTGGCTTTCCAAAGTGCTGGAATTACAGGCGTGAGCCACCATGCCGGGCCAAAAATAGTTTATTTAATTCAATTAAACAAATATTGTTTAAACATTTACTGTACGCCAGGCAGAGTTCTAGGCACTTGGGCTATGGCAGTGAATAAAATAGACAAATATCCCTGTCCTCTTGAGGCTTACATTTTAGTGCTGGACATACACAATAAACAATGTGGTATGATTAAGTAAATTGTAAAAATACAATAAGCCGTATGAAAAATAAAGTAGAATGGATAGGAAAATGAGAAGAGCTCAGAGTGGGAGGCAAGGGTTATTTTATTTTTATCTTCTTTTTTCTTGAAACAGAGTGTCACTGTGTTGCCCTGGCTACAGTGCAATGGCGCAGTCTCAGCTCACTGCAACCTCCGCCTCCCAGGTTCAAGTGATTCTCCTGCCTCAGCCTCCATAGTAGCTGGGATTGCAGGCGCCCACCACCACATCCAGCTAACGTTTGTAATTTTAGTAGAGACAGGGTTTCACCATATTGTCCAGGCTGGTCTTGAACTCCTGAACTCATGATCTGCCTGCCTCAGCTTCCCAAAGTTCTGGGATTACAGGCATGAGCCACCATGCCTGGCCAAGAGTAATATTGAATTGGGTAGTCAGGCAGGGCATAGTGGCTCATACCTGTAATCACAGGAGTTTGGGAGGTCAGGAGATTGAGACAAGCCTGGCCAACAAGACAAAATCCCATCTCTACTAGAAATACCAAAAAAATTATCCAGGCATGGTGGCGGGCACCTGTAATCCCAGCTACTTGGGAGGCTGAAGCAGGAGAATTGCTTGAACCAGAGAGGCAGAGGTTGCAGTGAGCTGAGATCACACCACTGCACTCCAGCCTGGGCGACAAGAGCAAGACTCCATCTCAAAAAAGTAAAACAATTAAAAAATAAAATTAAAATAAATTGGGTGATCAGGGAAGGCTCAATGAGAAGGTGGCATTCAGTAAATATTTGAAGGAGATGAGGGAATGAGCCAGGCAGATTTCTCGGGGAAGGGTTGTTCTGAGCAGAAAGAACATGCCAGTTAAATTGAAGAAACAGCAAGGAGGCCAGTGTGGCTGGAGTTTATGTTAGCATAAGGAGTGAGGTCCGGTGTGATGTTTGAAGTTGTGACAATTGTGACAATGACGGGTTCACAGACTGTATCAAAAGGCAGAAAGAATAGCATCTTGTACCATGCTTCTTCTTATCAGGGAGGAAAATATGTCCTGAAGCTCAATAGCAGACTTCATAAAACTGTCAATTCTCCCCTAAATTCATCTATACATTTGACACGATCTTATATGTTTAAAACAACAGAATTTTTTTTAATGTGTAAGCTGGTTTCTCAAGTTTATATAGGAGAGAAAGCAGAAAAAATAAGCACGAAAGAACTCCAAAATAGAAGGACTAATAAGGGAAATACAACTTATAAGCTAGTAAAATAACTGGACAGTCATCTGAAAGAAAATAAAGTTGAATCCCTACCTCACATCTCAAACTAAAATAAATTCCATATTGGTCAAAGAAGGAAGAGATTTAAGTGTTTAGAGAAAACATTGAACAGAAGACTAACTTTTCACTGTAAACTTTCTGTCATTTAAATTGTGTAGTGCATGCATTATATATGGAAAAATCATTGTATTTAAAATATATGCATATTCTTGCATAAGCAATATAGTATAGTAGAAAGCCACAGACCTGAGAATCTAGTGGTGTTTTCTAGTTCTAAATTTGCACTAATAAAAAGACAACCTTGGACAATTCATCTTCTTTTCATCTCTAAAGTGTATTAGATCAGATGAATTCCTGTGTCTTTGAGCTCTAAAACTATCACTTTAATTTAATCTTATAAACTGACCTATGAGTACTTTTTCTACTGTAACTGGTTTTAATCGTTTTCCTAATAAATACTAGATCCTTTATTGTGAAATTTAGCTTCAAACATTATTCAGTGCCCACAGCAGTCACACCATTACAACTGAATGAAGACAGCATGTGAAGTGCATTTTAGGGCTCAGCCAGGAGTTTCTGGGCTGTCAGTGGTAGAGGTAGCTGGTCTCTCTCATACTATATGAACAGATAAGGAAAGGATTGCCTCATGGCATTGAATGCCTTGGGTGGTGAGGCCTGTGACTCATACCAGAGACTGCCGAAGGAACTCTACGGTCAATAGCTAATCAGCTGTCTGTGATTCAGAGACCCATTGTCTGGTTTGAGGCTTATTTGGATCTTGGACTTTTTTCTGTGCCCCACCTTTTGGCTATCCTACAAAATACCTCCACCAAAAAAGGAAAAGGAAAGTAAACATAAATCTATCAACCACTTGTCAACAACTTTACCAAAATAATAACAATTGTTAGCTACCAGAGCCAACAAGCAAGTAATTTTATGTGTTTGAAGAAGCTTAAAAACTGAAAAGCAAGACTATACTTTCAGGAATCATTTCTATAGTGCGTTACTAGAGAAGTTTCTCTGAATGTGTAGAGCACCGGAAGCCACGAGGAGGAGGTGCAGTGTTCTCTCCTGAGTGTGAAGTTGGCTCTTGGTGTTGCTTTAGTGCAACTGTCATTTGCCATTGATGACCGTTCTTCTCTTCCTTTGGGAGAGTAAGAGGGAGAGGACACAGTCTGAGTGGTTCCCCCTTTTTAAAAAAAAAAACAACTGAAAAGCATCTTAGCCATCATCTAGTTTAAACCACCCATTTTACAGATGAGAAAAGTGAGGTTTAGAGAGGTAAAAATGACTTACTTAAGGTAGATGGCCAGTTCCTAGAAAATCCAACTCAAAAAGATTCATGTGTTCCAGAACCTGGTCTGAAGCTGTTTCCACTTGTCATTTTTCATCCTTAAATTATTTTCAAAACTGTGCTGATATGCTTGTGTCAGAATATTATCAATCTAATAAAAGTATGTATTCCCCCCCGCCCACCGCCGCAATAATGGTTTGGCTTCATCTGCTCTATCTGGACCCTGATATTCTTTAGACCTATGACCTTAGGAGTACAGCTTCTAAGCAGAAAATTGAGGGAGGAGACTGAAATCTAAGAAAATCTAAATGCCAATTTCGAACTGCCCTGGAGGACATATTTCTTACCCAGCCCTCCCTGCCACCATCAGTCTCCAGTCGCTTCCCAGGAACACTTGTCATCAGACACTTTTTTTGAGTAACCTTCTGTCCCTCCCTTTCCACTCCCATCTGCAGCCAAAATGATTCTTAGAGCTTACCTCAGACACATGCCCAACCTAATTCTACTCAAGAAAGAGTTGTCAGCAAATTTCCTTGGGGGTTTGTACTTCCCTTTAACTTAAGTAGGTCATTGCACTAAAGGAAGTATAAAGATGGAATGAATGAGAACAAGCTACTGGACAGGGCTTGTGTGAGATCTGTGAAAATGGAGGGAAGATGGGCAGAGTGACAGGGTTGGCCCAGCAAGGGAAGTCCCCCTGGGAGCTTTCAGATGACTCAGACCTCACAGCCTTACAAGTCAAACAGGCAGAGTGAATATTCAAGGGACCTTAATCCTAACAACGTGGAGTCCCTGTTCTGCCTGCGTCTATACGTACTTCTCAAAGAAAGAAGGTCTCGGAAAAGTACAAGAGACAAGCTATATGTGAGGATGCCATTTTGCAAGTTGAGAAGAGGTGCTTGGGGCTGAAAAGGTGGAGATGGATGACCTGCAATGCAGAGGTATTACTAACATAGTTGACTTGCTTCCAACAAAACCCAAATGATCAATTTCTCACCAAGCTACCCAATCGCCCTTTGAAAAGCCCATTTGGGTAAGTAGAGACCTACAATCCACAAAATAAACATCCCCAGTTGGGTACAGGATCTTGGGTAAGACACCTTGTGAGGTTAGTCTGAGTAACACCAGCGTAAAATAATAAGGATTACCTTTCAGGGAAAAGGAGGGAGGAGTCACCAGAGGGAAGAAACATTGTGGGGAAGTGAACCATTGCTGACAGGCTCAACCCTGGCATATTCTTACATGAGTGCCCCGAGACTCTCTGACATAGATGACCCTGACCTTCTCTCAAAACCTCCTAGAAGCCTGCTTCCTGCCAAGGGCAGCAAAGCCTACCCCACCACCCCCAGCACACACCCACCTCATCACGGATATGGTCTGGTTTGCCATTGCTCAGCCATGGCAACTCTACTGACCACGGTGTAGGTATTTTACCTGTGAAGAGATGGAAACAAACTGTCTCATTAAACATGGGTTCTTGCCCCTAAAATTTTGACTCTTAAGATACATAGTGACACAGGCTAGAAATGTGTTGTTAAGGTGAGGTTGCTCCCTAAGACTCCTCTGCTCTGTGGTACACACATCCAGGCATTCACTTGTGAATTAAATAATTGTGCAGTGCTAATTAAGCAACAGGCAGTATAAGCAGGAAGGTGAGAAAATTGCCCTCTTGAACCTCATACTGCAGTCAGGAGAAGCACTGTCCCAGAGAAATAACAATGTGAGTCACACATGTAATTTTTTTTTTTAATTTTTTTTTTTGAGATGGAGTCTCACTCTGTTGCCCAGGCTAGAGTGCAGTGCCACAATCTGGGCTCACTGTGCCCTCACCTCCTGGAATCAAGCAATTCTCATGCCTCAGCCTCCCAAGTAGCTAGGATTACAAGCATGCACCACCACACCTGGCTAACTTTTTGTCTGTTTGTTTGTTTGTTTATTCTGAGATGGAGTCTTGCCCTGTCACCGAGCCTGGACTGCAGTGGCCTGATCTTGGCTCACTGCAACCTCCGCCTCCTGGGTTCAAGTGATTCTCCTTCCTTGGCCTCCCAAGTAGCTGGGACTACAGGCACCTGCCACCATACCTGGCTAATTTATTTTGTATTTTTAGTAGAGATGGTGTTTCACTATGTTGGCCAGACTGGTCTCGAACTGACCGCGTGATCCGCCTGCCTTGGCCTCTCAAAGTTCTGGGATTACAGACGTGAGCCACTGTGCCCTATGTTTAGTAGAGACAGGTTTCACCATGTTGGCTAGGCTGATCTCAAACTCCTGACATCAGGTGATCCACCCACGTTGGCCTCCCAAAGTGCTGGGCCTACAGGCATGAGCCACTACACCTGGCCCATAATGTTAAATTTTCTAGTAGCCATGTTTATTTTTTTTTTTATTTATTTGAGACAGAGTCTTGCTCTGTCGCCCAGGCTGGAGTATAGTGGCATGATCTCAGTTCACTGCAACATCCGCCACCCAAGTTCAAGCGATTCTCGTGCCTCGGCCTCCCAAGTACCTGGGATTATAGGTGCCTGCCACTACGCCTGGCTAGATTTTGTATTTTTAGTAGATACAGGGTTTCACCATGTTGGCCAGGCTAGTCTCAAACTCCCAACCTCATGTGATCCACCCTCCTCGGCTTCCCAAAGTGCTGAGATTACAGACGTGAGCCACAGCATCCAGCCTATTAGCCATGTTTTAAGGGTAGAAAAAAAACAGTGAAATTGATTCTAATAATATATTTTAGTTAATACAATAGACCCAAATCATTATTGTGTCAACATGTAATCAATATTTTAAAGTTATTAATGAGACAGCTTACATTCTTTTTTGTACTGAGTCTTTGAAATCCAGGGTATATGTAATACTTTCACTTACAGATCGTGACAGTTACTATTAGGTATCAACTTGACTGGATTGAGGGAGGCCTGGATGGCTGGGGAAGCATTGTTCCTGGGTGTGTCTGTGAGGGTGTTGCCAGAGGAGACTGATATTTGAATGTGTGGACTAGAAGAGGAAGACTCATCCTCAGTGTAGTCAGGCACTATTCAATTGGCTGCCAGCACGCCTGGAACAAAGCAGACAGAAAAGGGGAAGAAACAGCTTCCTGAGTCCTCACTCTTGCTCTCTCTTCCTGTGCAGGATGTTTGCTTCCTCTCCTCCTGCCCTTGGATATCACACTACAAGTTCTTCAGCCTTTGGACTCTGGGACCTGCCTGCACCAGCAGCCTCCTGGGGGCTCACAGGCCTTCGGCCTCAGCCAGGAGGCTGCACCGTTGGCTCTGCTAATTTTGAGGCTTTTGGACTTGGATTGAGCCATGCTCCCAGCTTCTCTCCCAGCTTCTCCCCCCACTTGCAGATGGCCTGTCATTGGACTTTGCCTCGTAATCCTATGAGCCAGTTCTCCCTGATAAACTTGCTTTTATTGTACACATCTGCCCTATTGGTTCTGTCCCTCTGGAGAACTCTAATACAGATTTTGGCACCAGGTGTGGTTCTGATGGAATGGAATTTTAAGAATGAATTTCCTTTATTGGTTTGGGGGTTTCTAGAGTTGGCTATCTAATCAAATTAGACCCAAATATGCTAAAGACTCTATTTCTAATAATACAGACAGCACTGATAGTCATTGGTGTGAACTGTTTAGAGTTATGCAAAATAAATGCATTTGATATTCCTGATTCCCTGCTCCTGAGAGGCAAGGAGTTTAGTGACTCTATACATCATGCCTTTGAACATTTGTGGAGGACCAAGGAATATAATGAAATTGGTTGGCTGGTCCCAAGTTCCCTGGGCAAAGTGATGAAAGAAAAGATAAGCTCAGGGATTCTATCTCTAGGCTCCAGAAGCACACCCTGAGCCTCAAATCTTCTAAGATTGCCCTGGGTGAGAGCTTGCTGTTCTGTAGACAAAGAGCTGAAATTGCTGAAAATCAGACACAAGCTCTTATAGAAGTGGCTGACCTGCAACAAAAGGTGCATGCTCAGCCTCACCGGGTGTCTACTGTTAAAGGGAGGACATTGATTGGAAAAGAGTGGGACACCGAAAATTAATATGGGGACATGTTGGGGGCGCCTAATGAAGCTAGGAATACTGAGCTCCTAAATTCTGATGAGGTTTTTATCCAGAGGGAATGGCCTCCCAACCCCCAGTGGTAGCAACATGCCCTTGCCCATCCACTGCAATACCAGCCTTTCCATCTTTGAGATTAACCTTGCATTGCCCAGGGAAACAGCAATGGCCTCCCCTAAGGCAGGTGCCAGGAAAGACAATGCTGGTTCGCCCCACACCCCTGTTTGCCTCTGGACCCTAACTGGACTCCAGTCCCAGCACACCCCTAGAGGTGAGGTTCACAGTGTGACCCATGAAGAGGCGTACTACACTACAAAAGATCTACTGGGTTTTCTAATTTATATAAGCAGAAATCCAGGGTACAGGTATGGAAATGGATATTAAGGGTGTGGGATAACAGAGGAAGGATAGACATCACAGAAATAGTGATCCGACTTTATGGTCCTGAATATACTGCTGAATATATTGCTATGAGCCCACTAAGCAGAGACTGCATTTAATGTTGCAGCTCAGGGAGTTTAAAAGGTTCCAATAGTTGTTTATTTGCTTGGCTAGCTGAAACATGGATCAAAAGATGGCCCACAATGCCTTATTTCCCTTGGTTTAATATAGAGGAAGGGTTCAAGGGCTTATGGAGATTGAAATGCTAAAGTGAATTTGTCAGTGAAGACCTACTCATCCCAACTGGGAGAGTCCAAAAGACACTGGTACTGGAGAGTCCAGTACCTTGCAAAATAGATTTGTGAAGGGAGCACCAGCATCCTTGAAGAGCTCTGTGATTGCTCTTCTCTGTATGCCAGTTCATACAGTGGGAATTGCAGTCACTCA